CAGGATGAGGATTGTTGCAATTAATTACTGACAGCCGAATTGGCGGCACTTATCTTTGCTATGATTTCAAGAAAGGAAAACATTATAGAACATGAAGTGAGGGAGAGAAGAAGGGAAGTAGGAAGAGGTGACTGTATCATTTGCGAAACTTTACTAAAGGGAACGAAAGGGAGGAATTATGGGCAGAAGGAGGGTTCTGTTCAACTGTCGTTCGTCTCCCTATGTGTCAATTATTTCTTAAGTGTGCCGACCGAGAATCCCATCTATTGGTTGGTAAGGATTGGTTGAGGCGGAGCTTTTGATCTATAAGGAAAAGTTCGGCCATGAGAACCACTGACAAATTACCGTAAACTTTTGCAAATAAGAGGAAGTGAAGTTAGTTGTGTTGTTGCTCGCCTTACGGATGAGGAAGTGGTAAGAAACGGCGAATTCTGGAAATCATTTTGTATGCTTTTATGCAGTCATTTGATATCGAATCTCTTATTGGCATAGGTAGGGTAAGAAATGGCTTCTCTGGAATATCTGAAGAAACTCCAGAAACGGAAACCGCTAAGGAAGCAGTTGCTATTGCTATTAACGAACTTCCGTCTGTTGCTAATACTAAAGTAAGCACAGCGAATCTGAATTTTGATCGAAGTTTAATAAAATCTGAGTTCTTGTGCGATTCGACATCATCTCGAAAACGTCCGGGTGCATCGGCTGCATCCGCAACTCGAACCATAGATCCGGAATCGAAATGTTTAGGCACTGCTTTCCACACTTATCCCTGCGTATCCGGTGGCAAATCTCAGTGTGTGCCATCCTCTCTATCGGTGTCAGGTTAGCACTACTTCAAACCTTAAAAATTGAACCAGAAGTTTTAATGAATTTAAATCGTTCGGATTAAATAAGCAATAAGAACGAGAAATATGTCCTAACTTCACTATTCGGCACAAAAATATTGGAGATTAGATTATCCAAAAGATCGCACTTTCTATTTAACTCTAAATTTATCGATCTTATTCTATTGAGCAGATTGAAAATATAAGTGAAAATTAGACAAAATATAGTTAATTATCCTATAATTAAAATATAGAAGCATTTCAATAATTTAAAGACATTTTCTCCATCAATGATAATCATTCATTGTAGCTAAAATAGACGTTAATCTTTTTTAAACACTAAAACTGTCATCAAATCTTTTCACTATTTCTCTAACTCATTTCCTATTAACTCACTAACTAACAAACACTATAAAAGAATCTATTTATACTGTAAATTGCAATCGATATTTAAAAATTATTATTTTTCTTAAATTTTAAATTATCTATAATACATTTTCCATATCGCAAATAATTCAAATATTTTAGGAACATTTTTGAATAAAACTTGTTGATGCAAACTATAATATTTTTTTCTGCTTTGTATCATAATAAATTTCAAAAATTATCTGTTTTATTGCTTCTCTCAGAGGAATTACTTAAGGTTTTGCCAACGGATCGTAGGTTAATTGCGTCATTTTCAGTTAACGATCAAATTGCATGACCACTGAATTTTTGATTAACTAACATGAATGCTAGCAATTCATTTATCTGTAAACTATTTTAAAAACAATTAAGTCTTTTTTTATTTCTTTAAAATTTAATTGCACACTAGATATATTCATTCTTTCTGCTTGAAATGTACAATCATTTTGAAATTAAAATGTTTCCGTTGAACTTTGATAGTTTTTCAATATTTGTAGAGTATCGATAGATTTCTGTTTTTTTTTAAAGGAAAACAAAATTACTTTCGTGGTAGCAGTAGTTGTAGTTTTCATGGTAATTCCTTTTCTTAAAATTTTTTCAGGAAAATTTTTGTGAGGTATGTTAATCTTTCCTATTGTGATAAAAAAATCTGAAGAATGCTTTTTGATATTAGAAATTGTCTTCATCATGTATTTTAACTAAGTATGAAATATGGATTTCGAATCTCTCATTATTGAACTTTTCAGGAGATGCGTAATAATTGAAATTGATTATCAACTGATTTAAAATTCCTTAAATTTAGGAGGTTTTCTTATAGTTCACGTAGTATTTGAAAGTTGGTTGTTATCCAAATTTCATAGAGTAAAAGAAATAACGATATTTTATGAGAAGATTAATTTAAGCGTTAATTTAGACGATTTTACCGTAACTTCCTGTATTGTGAGTAGATCACAATATTGTTACGACCAATAGAATTACATTTAAATGGGCCTTAAATGTCTTTTATCAGTACACAAAAGTTTATAGTCCATCTGATGTAATTTCTTTCTATTTTGTTTTTTCTCCTTCCTATTTCATTTCATTTCAAGACGTTATTCTTTGATGCGAACATTACTGAGGTAATACAATATGACTGCAAGATTAAAAGCAAAGCATCCTTACTTTTTCTTCCAGGATTGTATCCTACGTTTACTTTGACAGCAGTGGGAATGCTAACAAGATCTAATAACGAAATTAGTATTCCAAATTTCTTGGAAAAGTTTCAGATTTCTCGAAATTTAAGGAATAGCATGTGAGATACAAAGGAAGGGAAAAGAAGATAAAGAATTGCAATCAAATTTAAAATGAATTCTGTAATCGAATTTAAAATAAGATGAATATGAGATGATGAAAGTAAAGAAAGAGAGGGAGAGTAATAATTCTGTAAAATGGAATTCGTCAAAGTGATTTAATCAGTGGAGGATATTTTTGCTTATTGAAGTAATATCTATCAATATATATATATATATATATATATATATATATATATATATATATGCATGTATAATATCGTTAATGGGAAACAAAGAAATCATCAATTCAACCAGTTGGAATAATAAATTAGGTACTGGAAGGATGTGACTAATTACTACAAATGCTAAACTGGGTTAAAGCTGTAAGTGAAGATTTAATGAAAGAGAAGAGAGAAAATTCAATTGACATTCTTACAATGCACTCTTTAAGATTTGAATTTCAAATTCAATCAGTCCCGTTGTTGCTTGATTCTATGAATTCATCATTTCCAGATCTTATCATGTACTGACTTATTATATCCATTTCTACTTGTACGATGTCCTCTCTATTTAATATTATGCAAAAATGATGATATTTTTACTGGGATAAGAAAGGAAGACTTCTACTAGCTATTAGATAGTTCTAGATTAAGATAGATCATAGCTTGTCTTCGGGATTTAATACTCTGTCATGCATAATAACTGATATCATTTTAGTATGAAAAGGAAAACTCTCTAACAAATAGATTTAATACAAATTGGCTGCCGAAAGAGATTTATTTGAAAAAAAAAATAATTGAAAATTAAAGTGTCAAAATACTTATATGATTTTTCCCTGCAAATATTTACTGCGAAGGAAAATAACTGGAAATTCTTAAGATTTGAAATATTATTTCGAATCATTCACCTACAAGTTTTTTAATCAAAATAGTTCGAAATACTAATTTACGCTTCTTAAAACATAGATTATAACATTGTTACATGCATTGCATTTGTTTAAAAAATTGTAGGGACAATTAAAGAGATATGAATTGAGAACTGACTGATCATTGCTATTATTTTCAACATTATTTCATTTGCTCTATTATTAAAGGTATGTCATGATAAACATTAAGTTCTTCTTACTTTGTTTCTATAATGGTAACAATGAAAACATTCCTTTACAATCTACAATTTTCAAATTTTGAAAATTTGGCCCATTTTATTTGTAATTATTTAAGAGGTAAAATGTCATTATGCATCATTTTCTCATCGTACAATTGGCAGTATTCATATTTTCAAGCAGACATGGAAATACGGTAATGTCTCAGTTGGCTTATATCTTAAAGATTGGCCAAATATCCGATAAGTGCTATATATCGCATTAATATCACAATTTCAAGTATTAAGAAATGGTTTGGCAATCTCTTTTTCGCTTCTTATTTTATCGATATTTTCGCTTTTGTTCTGATACTTCTAATTACATTAGTTCATTGCTATTTCTATTTTTGATTTATTGTATTGATGTCATATGGCTGATCATTTTTTGGCATGAATTATGTGTGAAATTCAATTTTTATTTAATTTATTTGGAGTGAATAAGAAGTAGTAAATGTGAAGCAAATGAAGATAAAAGGAATTTGAATGGTTTAATAAATAATACAAAACAGATGAGACTGTCTATAGAATTTTTAAAGACATAATTGGTTCCTGAACAAATGGCGCAACATGGCGGTACGCATAAACATAAGATTTACATGTCGTAAAAATGATATAATTGCTGTATAGCTCTGATAATAAATGTTATGAAAACAATAACATAATTATATTCAAATGGATCCAACAGCTTTTTCTAATGCCTCAGGAATGAAACAAAATTGAATGGAATGAGATGCCATCGAATAGGATTGTTACAGTATGACAACTGTTGTACCCATCCTCTAAATTGTCTGGAAGTGAGAGACATTTTGCTTGAAATGACAATAACGGTGCTCGTAAAAAGTCCGTTGAAAAGAAACCGCAAAGGAACGATGGCGGAATTATCAAATATGCAATTGCTTTTCGTACTGTCGTGATTTTCTCCTTCCCCATACCTGTCAGGTGGTTGAGGCGCACGACAGTGATACAATTACCTTCAACCTCGATATTCATAACATTAATTGTTTGATGATATGAGACGACCTTCATTAAAATTAGGAATGGGAGAACAATAATCGTCCTAGGAGCACATTTCAACCTATTGTAATCAGAATAGACTGACGCTGATATCCTAAAAATTATACGTAAATTTTTATGCATCATTTCAATGTATATACCTACGCTATTTCAAGTTCTTATGTAACTTCAATGAAGCAAAGCTTTTAAACAAATAAATTAATATTAAAATGCATTGAAGAGTCTCTAAATTTAATTAAATTTCACTTTCTATTTTAAGTGCAAAATTCTATTTCATATCATACCTGATAAATTTGAAAATGCAAATAACAAAAGCATACCTGCAGTGGAATCTCGTGATGATGGTACAATGAGACGCTATCGGACAGCATTTAGCCGTGAACAGATCAGCCGATTAGAAAAGGAGTTCGCACGTGAGAATTATGTATCACGGCCAAAAAGATGTGAATTGGCAACACAACTTAATTTACCTGAAGGCACTATAAAGGTAAGTAAAACAATCCTTTATTTGATTATTGCTCATTGAAGCAAATCAATAATTTACCTCATTTGTGAATCACCTCTCCGACAAATTGCATTTTCTAATTTGTAATATCTTGTATTCTAACAATTCATTGAGGGAATATAACGGTTTACTGTATCTCTTTTGTACAATTTGTCGTTTTCGTAGTGTTTCTCAATTTTCTAAAGGTATTAATTTCGAGTTTCGTACAATTTAAATCAACATTGAATTTTTTAAAAATAGAAATGAAGTTCTTTATTTTTTGGCATCCAGGATTATGCATGATTAATAGGATTTCTTAGAGTCACTTCAACTAAACTAATGCGCTTACTAAGCAACTTCTAGAAGCAGTTACTGTAGATTTAGCTGGAATTATTCCCCATGAGACTTCAATTTGTAAGTGAATGCTTTGCGAAAGCAAAATGAATTGAGCTAAATGATATTGAAATCATATGCATTTTTTCTAGGCTTTTCATTTAAACAGCTTAAATCCTAGAACCAATTTATTTTGATTCTGAAAGATTTCAATACTCTATATTCAATCTTTTGCACTTTTTCTTATTTAAATTGCATGAGAGGACTAGTGCTTGTCTTGTCATTTTAAGCCATCATTTTTGTTGTCGTTGTTCCTGACACGTTATCAGTCCAGCAGAGGCGAGGGTGAGGTGGGGGAGAGAGAGAGAGGGAGGGGGAAGTAGATAAGGAGGAAAAAGAGGGAAAGAGAGAGAGATTAAATTTATGAATATTTAGGAACCACTCCCAATGCTTCCTGTACAATCCGTCTAAAAATTGATAATTTATCAAAATGCTACGCATCCATCCTATTTAATAGACATCCTAAACCATTCACTAATTTTTCGCTTCAAATGTTTACAATATATTAAAATTATTTGTTCTCTTTCATATATATATTGTACTTCAACCAAAATCTTACTAAAATAACAGATTGCATTTTGCTAAATATCGAGAATGCAGATAAATAGAAGAATATCAAATAAGTGGCCTTTTCATAATCATGATTTGAATGATAACCACAATCGAAACAATCCTGATTAGGATGAATGAGACTTATTTCAATAGCAACTAAATCTTCAACTTCATGGACAATGAACAAATGCAAAACTTTCTTTATCTCATTATCAGTCCTCCCCGTTTCAATTTTTCCTCTTTTTACTCTAATCCCTTTATTAATTCGATTTTTACACAGTTTAAAAGTTCTTGGGGTAATTTCACTTCTTAAATCGACAATCCGACGAGCTACTTTCAGCAAAATGCTGATTTCATTAATTTTTGGTAGGGCATCAGAAGCAACAAAGATCAGAAGGAGTGCAGGGCGAAATAAATAATATGTTTCAAGTAATAATATTAGTAAATAAGTGATAATGATAATGACATTAAGTGAATTAAGGATTTAAGCAGTGGAACTTCGAATCTTCATTTCTAGACTTGCCTATATAGTAAGTTTATTCCACCTTCATCTTCATCTCTCATCTGATTTATTTCTCCTGTTTATCTGCTCAAAAAATACTTCAGTAATGATGGAGTCCTGCTAAAGTACTACCTTAAAACCTTCCGCCGAAATTTATTTAATTATAAACAGTACATCACAAGATAAAAAATGAATGTTGTTGAATCTTTGATTTGTCAACTTCACTTTGTAAAACAACTAGATTTGAAGTTATTCCAGGTATGGTTTCAAAATCGCCGTATGAAAGATAAAAGGCAGAAGATGGCATCTCTACACTGGCCATTCTTCGATCATCACATTACTGCATATTTCCTTAATCCATTTTGTTATGAAGCTTGGAGGTCATCTCTGATACCTAAATTGTGTGATCCGAGGTTAGGCATTTCTGAAGAGTTTGAATTTGGATTCATCATTCATCCTTTAACAAATTATGAAATTATATGAGGATTTTTAATTCCTTGCATAACTGCGCAGTTATAAGATTAGAAAAATATTGCAGACAACGTACCGCGGACTTGGATTTAAGTGCATTGTAAGCAAGTAGCAGTGAAACTATTTGCTTCTTGAATAATTTGATTTCAAATCTTAAATTTTAAAATTGAGCTCTCGAAAAACTCTTGCAGTACTACACGCCCACTTCTCGCTACCGGTGGATCAATGCTCGGGTCAGTAGCAATAGGAACAGGAACAAATGTGGGAATAGTACCTCGACCAGCAATACATGCCAATCCAGCTGCTATTAGCGTTGAACCAGTTGAAACAGTTCAAGACCGTATCCAAGAACCACTCGAATCCATTCCTCTACAGTCACCTTCTGAATCAAAGTCAATCTTATGATTCATAGATAAATGGACAACATGCTGCATCTAAGAATGTAACTTTTGCATATTTTACACATTAAAATCAGAGAAGGAATCGTCTGTCATTTGCGTAAGTCAGCTACCGTTTCCGGAAATATGCTAATTTAATATTTGTTAAACTTATAACAAAAAGTAAAAAGTTCAATTCATTCTACGCCTACAAAAATAATGCTTATAGCTGACTTAACGCATGTAGAGAAAAAAGAATTTTTTCAATGGAATGATTTACATAAAGATTAGATTCATTGTCCTTTAAAAACCATGGCATAGTTTCCATCATAACTCTAAAATTTCAATCACATTTCAGCTGATTTTATTCCCGCTTCCAAATTTTTGGTTCAAAAAATAAGCAGAAAGTGTAGAAATCATCTTATCAGTGGTAAAAGTTCCTCTTATCAGTGATCAAATGCAAAATAATGAGAAAACTCTTGAGGCCTCATTCGTAATTCGTAATAAATTTCTTGCAATAATATCCCCGTCATTCACTCTTCTCAATTCTCAAAGCATGTTCAACAACATTTTACAAATTTTACAAGTCTGCGAGCCCAAATTGCAATGTTCGTCTCCAGTTATCACCAGTATTACCAGAACCCGAAAATAATACAAATTGTTTTACAGGTTTAAATTATACAATGCTTTAATATTATCATCTCTTGAATGATATGAATTATTTTGTGTTTGCGAATACTGATTTCAGCATTTATTCTTTTTGTATAAAATTTCGACATTTTGTTCCAGTAATCGTCCCAGTTATCTTTATAAAATATTGCATGAGCAATAAATTAAAACAGAGTACATTAAGAAAATTATCAGATGTGAAGTACGGTAATAACTAATAGCTTAACCTGACTGCAGATCACATCATTCATAAAAAAAAATCATGTAAGAAGTTCATCATAATGAAAGTGGTATGCTAAAATATCGCTCACTTTTCAGCAGTCTAAAATAGGTTCCATAAGAAATTGGTTTCCTATATATAGAAATATATTTAGAAATTGCGACAATTTCGCCGCTTTTTGGGTCAAACTTTCAAATAAATCGTTTTGATCTTTGTGACTGATAACGCTATATGTATTTTAGAGCTCATAAATAATAAACGAGTGAATTCACAACACTGACACTTAAATTTATAATCACTTGAAACAGTTGTGTTTCACTTTATAAATAACATACTCAGATTATATGAATCAGAGGGGTAACCGTATTGTTTTAATGTCAGATTTTTTTCTAAATTTATTTTTTGACAACAGAAAAGTAGTCAGATGTTGACAAAAAAGTGGTACGATATTTTGTGAATAAATTACTTCTAGGAGCCCTATTTCTTTGTATCCTTGAATTCACTCAATCCGAAACATTTCGGTGGTGTATGTTATAGAAGATGTCATTTGTTTTGCTGTATATGATTTATTAAAAAACTGTGCTATTTACAAAAATAATTTCAGAAAAATAATCATAATTTTTCGATTTCAACAGTTAACCGATCAATTTCCTTCGTAATTGTTTCTCTTCGCGCGATTTTTTCGAGTTGTGTTTTCTCTGGATTTCCCAATACTCCACTTTTGATTCTTTGCTGCAGTGATTTTTACTAGTTTACATGTATGTAATAAGACGAGGATACAAAAATAAAAATTAACCCAGTTTACCTCTAGTATTTCTATATCTCGTAGCTTTCTGTTCAAATTGTTAATCTTCTTTCCAATACATTCACGAGGAGTTATAGGAACGTTTGGCCTCAGTGCTGCAGCAATCGGTTTTTTCAATTCTTGTTCTTCAGTTTTCTGGAAACCTTCGGAAGAAAAAATAACTAAGTTGACAACGTAATCAAACAGTTGTGGATACATCATAAACAGTATTTAATTTAAAGAATTACCAACTAATTTTCCTGAACAACTGAACAATGAGATGCTTAAATGACGTTTTGTCAATTCATAAATTAAATAAAAGTTTCGTTCGTTTCATGAGTTGGTCATTACACACAGGATTAACTCCAACATAACATGTACAAAAAAAGCATTGCAGACAATAATTACTTTAATAACTTACAAATTATCAAATATTACATAATTGGAATAAGAAGTCGTTCATTTTTTACTTTTTGATTTTTTTTTTAAAAATCACTGACACCCTTAACAAACTCCAACTTCAAGATTTTAATTTGAGCAGGATTCAAATGTTACCTCGGATAGATTTCCAATTCACATATCTTACCACAGGATAAAAAAGTGACCTTTTTAGGTTTCACAACTTCGGTGGGCGACCAACCAATGGGATATGTAGTTTTGTTGCTCATTTGTTGACCGCGTGATTCGTACCTCGGTTGTTCTTCCTGTGGGATGTAACCGTCCTTCACTCTTCTTGCCTTTCTCCACGTTCCATCAGCACGTTGCGAAGCTGCTATGTAAGTTTCACCTAAAATAAGTTTTTTTTGCAAATGAGCAAAAGGAACATCAGGACAACCTAGTGCAATTCCCTACAGTTGTAAGAAATAAAAAATATCGTTTAAAAATTATGTGTTAAAGTAACAGTCAATCAAAAGTTCTGGATTTACATGATCAGTCAGTCAGCTTTCGCTGTAAATATGTCAGTTGGTTAATAAAAGTTCATGTGTACAATCAGTTAGTCATAAGCAGTGAACTTAAGCACCACATTGACTCACCAGTTTTAGTTTTTATACGAACGTCTCCAATGAAACCTTTTGATGACATAGCAACATGAATTTCTCGAATGCTGATGAGTTCACGATCTAACACCTGAAAAGGTAATATATCGGGAATAATCCAACGTTTCCGTTCTGATCTCTATGCCTTATAAATTATGTTATTTAGGAAATAATGAGCCTAAAAAAAAAAAAAATAAAAAACAGGAAAAAGCTTCATGACAAGAGTATTCCTTTAATGCTTTCAATTGCAGTATCGAAAATGGGAATGCTTGCACGTTCGTCCGCTCGTCATAAAAAAAATTGGAAAATATAATACAATCGGAATCCATTTACCCATCCATACATTCAAAAGACAAAATGAACAAAATGACTTCTGAGATTAGTACACATTTTGTGCAATCTTTATTTCCCGTATGACAATGTGCAAAGTAAAAGAAAATAAAAAACCTCAAATGAGTGTAAACCATAAACAATCCTAGATAAGATTCAAGGATACATTTCCCATAACAAAACGTTTCATGCAAATATGGTAAATATAAAATACATAGATGTACAATTACTAACATCATAGTTTTATGAAGTCGCATAACCCGGACATACATGTCAAAATATACATCATCCGTCACTAGCACGAGTTAATCGTTGCTAAAATCGACAAGATATTAGTTTAGTGTAGTCAACTGGTACTAATAACCACTATAGTGCTGTATTAGCTTTGTCTCACATTTTGGCTTACAACCACAAATGATCTGTTAAACAGCAATACAACATGCTACAATTTCAAAACAACTATTTAAAACAGATGATATTTAAAATGATTGATACAGATAATGTGTAATTTATACAGCAATTCTTGAATTTCTTATTCTCAATTTCGCACCTAAAAGAATCACAGGTCTATGCAAATAAAAACAAATAGAGCAATGGAAAACGGAAAATTCAACTTTACAAAGTAGCAGCAACTCAATGTATACAGACATTGGATATGCAGGAACAAATAAAAACAATATCATCTGAACTAATTTGTAAAAAAAATGCGAAAAAATTTCTCATGCAAATCAATTTAAAAACCCCTCAAGAAGCATAATAACATGGAGCGAAAGAAGGAATCCAAAATGCATCCACAAATATTGATAACGTCGCAATAAGTTCTACAAGCAAAAAAGTTTCAAAAACATCTTAAACATTTTTCCACAATAAAACATGATCAAAAAACAAGCTTTTGTTCATTTGAAAAAAAAAAAAAAAAAACATTAAGAGAATGAAAACTGGTACGACCTTCGTTTTTACCCGAATTCAAGCAAATGTCTTAAAACAAAGAAAAATAACAGAATATCCTGACACCTAATGGAAACAAGTTTTCAAAACGTTATAGCAGTTGCCGGCATGGGACGGCTTAACGATTAAACTATTCATCACCTTTCCTAAGAATTTAGCTATGAGGAATAGTGAATAATCCCAACCATTTCTCAAGATAAGCCAGATGATTGCAACTGCAATACGCACACATACATAATCTAACGATTTACAACGTAGTCAGAAAATCAGAAAAATCTGGAGTACAAAAAAAAAGCCAAGAAGTAAATCACAAGCAGTGTTCGACCTGAATTCTTAAGATGTGTTGTTTTAATCCATGTTTAATATTAATTAAAAAAAAAAAAAAGTACCCTTTTCCTATTCTATCAAATCGGGATTGATCACATCGCATCGATCTCCACGACAATGTGGGCAATACCATTTACCTTTCGGTTTCTGTCTCAGTTGAACACATGGGAAATGATACCATTCGTTACATTTTTTATTCTCACAAAGAATCATATCACCATACGAAACCTGAATAATTCGAATCATAGAGAGGAGAGGAATACAAGGAAAAAAAGAAGGCAGCATCGAACAAAAATTGAAGTTAAGGATTGTTTTATTATATTATATTATAAATTATGTATATATACTTACTTGCCGGCATAAGCAATATAAGGGATCGAGATTATTTTCACCCTCTGTTATTTCTGTAACAGCAGACGTTGCTTGGCGGGGTTTCCTTGGTAAACGCGGCCTTCCTGCACCACGCTTCTTTTGCATCGAACGTCCTTCATTTAGTTCCTGCACTTTTATTTTCTTCCGTCGTCCTGATAAATACTAAACGGGAACAATTCAGGCGTCAGAAACTCAAAATTACCTTTTAAATGACTCTAGAAAAATTCCAAAAATTCTAACTTTCTACTTGAAAAAGTAAGAGCCACATGTAAACGAGATAAGCTTACTTATAAGAAAATAGCTTTAATATTCCAACAAAAATATTCTTTATGAAAAAATAATCTTTTCAAGAAGAATATTCCTTATGAAATGTAAGTTATGTCGATAAGTCATTGTTCGACTAAAAATGACTAGGCATTATAACCAAACAGAAATTTAATCAGTAAATAGGAAGAGTTTGACAGTGGATGCTTAAAATAAATAGTAGCGGTCACAGTTCTTGTAACTTACGAAAAAAGAACACATTTTACACAAACACACTAGTTGGGTAGAATATTTTAAGAGATAAACGTCAACCTGATCTGATACAGCTGGTGGAGACGGAGACTCTTTTGCTTTTCCCTTTACAACAGACTGGGATCGTGTGTCCCTTTCGATCCGTCGTATATTTTCTCTTGCTGTTGGAGCTTGACGTTTTGATCGGGACCCTTTTGGTTTGGCTGCTTGTTCTATAAGTAATGTCGTTTCGTAGCAATTAATATGTTAAAGAACCTAATATCCCAACATGGTACTTTTAGAAATGGATGAATATGGAAAGTTTGTTCTAGACATTTCACTTTTTTTTTTAGGAAAGATTGAATTTTGAATCCAAATTCTGTTCAAAAAGAATTTGGAACTTTTTGGAACTATGCATATGTATGTAACTGTAAAAAAATTTAGTTTTGAACTTAGAGAATTAAAAAATTTAGATCAATTCGATAAATGACTTGGTTGTCCCTATATTTCACCATCCACTATTATTCCTTTAGCAGAGAATTCATGCCATTTAAAAAATATTGAATAGAAATTCAAGATTTACCTATAATGCTGCAGAATGGAAAAAAAAAAAAACTCTAAGGATGATCAGCTATGGATATAAGAAAAAGCTGCTAAAAAAAATTGAAAAGTCACAATACCCAGCCTTACAATAAGAGTATTCACGCTGGGATATTTGAGCCCATGATATTAAATGGCAGAGGGGTCATTTTTAATTCCTGAAAGAAAATTTTTCTTTCTCCCTCTCTTTACCATCTGGGTCTTGTTCTTCTCTTATTTTTTTTTTTTTACTTTTCGTTCCCTTTATTTAACTTCTCTTGCTTTCTAATTATAAGTCCACTGACTTCTCCCTCTTCTCTTCCGAGTTGCTACTTTCTGCGCCTCTCCCTCTTCGACAACAGGTTCTAAATTGACGAGAATTCCTATTCAATCATTTCAAATAGAATTATTCAACATTTTAATTGCAAAACTCACTTTCTTTTGAATTTTTTCAAAAGCATAAGACAAAAAAACTTTATAACCAATTAAAAATTATCTTCACTAATTCTAAATTCGGCAGATGATTTCCAATTACGAATTTTCCATTCAAAACAGCTCACGTTTGATTTGTTGTGGATCAGTTTGGCAACCGATTAAGTTCTGTAATTTCGTATCTACATCAAACATTACGCCTGATTTCCAAAATGCTAAGTGTTGTGCCATACGCAACTCATTTTCTAATGTATCGAACATTTCATCAACTTGTTCACGACTCATTCCCATCTTAAATTTTACAGATTTTCATTTTTTTTTTTTTTGCGGAATTTTACAGATTTTCCACAATTTTCCATTTTCAGTTAGATTAATGTACCATTAGGCTGAAAAATTAATGGGATCTTTTACAAATAATTTATATAGCTGAACTTTGTTAACTTGAAAGAAAAACGAAATATGAAAATTGTATCTGCTACTTTATTTGATAAACAGAATACTTACCAGTCCTTCATTTAAAGTATCCTGAATTCTCTCTACTTCTCGCATGACTGCTTGATAGATGACATCTAATTCAGCCATTTTTTGTAACGGTTTCTAAATTTCCTTCAAATTTAAGCATGGAGAAAGCACTGAATGTCATATATGCAAACTGCGAAAGAAATAATTTGGGACCTCATAAAATAAAAAAGCATGACTCGATAAAAAAAAAGTTAATAAAACGATAAAATCTTATTGAAAGAATTTGCTGTTGAAGTCAGAATAAACAAATTGTAAGCAACAGCGTAGTGTCGATTAACGGCATAAATTTTAACAATATCTCGATACAGGACTTCCCTTTCTTAAATCATCGTTACTGATATCTGAAATTCTTGAAAGCCCTATCTGAAAAGTTCCAACCTGGACTATATCTACCGCATCAAACAGACGTTTCACAAGATTTTTCGCATCTGGAGGTACACTGTCGAATCCTTCATAACTTGTAGACGGTTTAGTTCCATCCATCTCAAAAGGTTTGTCAACAATCTTATCTCATCATATTAAAACACACTGAAACATTTCAGAAAATCTGAACTCCGCAAAAAGAAGCAGCAAACACCTAGATTTAGTGCTTCGAGATCATCAACACACAGAACTGTATGCACAGAGAAGAGTGACGGTTATCAATCTTACGAAATCTTGCCGCAATAATATGATAGAAAACCCTGCAAGTAGGTCTAAAGTGATCCGAAAGCGAACCTGATTGCACTCTATCGGCTGGGATCAGATCATCTATGGTTTTTATATTATGAGCATAGGAAAAATTAAACTGGACGGTAAAAGAACCGCTATCCTAAATCTTCCCTAAATAATAAAACAGATAGATAAAAGACACAGTGATAAAAATCGGTGACTATGCAATCAACCACTGCGATTGACTGCAAGGTTACAAGACAGACTGATAAAGTAAACGACAAATATATCGCTACAATTCAAAAAAAAAAAACAAGTACTACATTGAAATGGATAACAATACTTGGAGGTAAGTATTCGAGACTTTCTCGTCAGCATCGGAAGATTTTCGAAATACCATAAACAACACTCACCACACCTAGAGAGGGATAACAAGTATTCTACTCCCCTCCCTCATAACCTTTCAAACTTCAGAAAATGTTGCAAATGGTATTTGTACCCTAATGTCAAAACGTACCACCTTCCTATGCTACAATTGCAAGCTCGCAATGAAAAATATTTGTTCCTTTGATGTCCAAAGAAATTGGAACTCTCGTTTGCTGTCACGATAGTAATTCGTGAAAGTAAGGTTTTGTTCGTTTTTAAGCCTACTGCTAATTAATATTGGAAATAGGAAGTTTTTATGATCTATAAAACTTAAGATGCACAAATGTTTCCATTAGGTGTCAGGATATTCTGTTATTTTTCTTTGTTTTAAGACATTTGCTTGAATTCGGGTAAAAACGAAGGTCGTACCAGTTTTCATTCTCTTAATGTTTTTTTTTTTTTTTTTTCAAATGAACAAAAGCTTGTTTTTTGATCATGTTTTATTGTGGAAAAATGTTTAAGATGTTTTTGAAACTTTTTTGCTTGTAGAACTTATTGCGACGTTATCAATATTTGTGGATGCATTTTGGATTCCTTCTTTCGCTCCATGTTATTATGCTTCTTGAGGGGTTTTTAAATTGATTTGCATGAGAAATTTTTTCGCATTTTTTTTACAAATTAGTTCAGATGATATTGTTTTTATTTGTTCCTGCATATCCAATGTCTGTATACATTGAGTTGCTGCTACTTTGTAAAGTTGAATTTTCCGTTTTCCATTGCTCTATTTGTTTTTATTTGCATAGACCTGTGATTCTTTTAGGTGCGAAATTGAGAATAAGAAATTCAAGAATTGCTGTATAAATTACACATTATCTGTATCAATCATTTTAAATATCATCTGTTTTAAATAGTTGTTTTGAAATTGTAGCATGTTGTATTGCTGTTTAACAGATCATTTGTGGTTGTAAGCCAAAATGTGAGACAAAGCTAATACAGCACTATAGTGGTTATTAGTACCAGTTGACTACACTAAACTAATATCTTGTCGATTTTAGCAACGATTAACTCGTGCTAGTGACGGATGATGTATATTTTGACATGTATGTCCGGGTTATGCGACTTCATAAAACTATGATGTTAGTAATTGTACATCTATGTATTTTATATTTACCATATTTGCATGAAACGTTTTGTTATGGGAAATGTATCCTTGAATCTTATCTAGGATTGTTTATGGTTTACACTCATTTGAGGTTTTTTATTTTCTTTTACTTTGCACATTGTCATACGGGAAATAAAGATTGCACAAAATGTGTACTAATCTCAGAAGTCATTTTGTTCATTTTGTCTTTTGAATGTATGGATGGGTAAATGGATTCCGATTGTATTATATTTTCCAATTTTTTTTATGACGAGCGGACGAACGTGCAAGCATTCCCATTTTCGATACTGCAATTGAAAGCATTAAAGGAATACTCTTGTCATGAAGCTTTTTCCTGTTTTTTATTTTTTTTTTTATTTTTTTTTTTTTTTTTTAGGCTCATTATTTCCTAAATAACATAATTTATAAGGCATAGAGATCAGAACGGAAACGTTGGATTATTCCCGATATATTACCTTTTCAGGTGTTAGATCGTGAACTCATCAGCATTCGAGAAATTCATGTTGCTATGTCATCAAAAGGTTTCATTGGAGACGTTCGTATAAAAACTAAAACTGGTGAGTCAATGTGGTGCTTAAGTTCACTGCTTATGACTAACTGATTGTACACATGAACTTTTATTAACCAACTGACATATTTACAGCGAAAGCTGACTGACTGATCATGTAAATCCAGAACTTTTGATTGACTGTTACTTTAACACATAATTTTTAAACGATATTTTTTATTTCTTACAACTGTAGGGAATTGCACTAGGTTGTCCTGATGTTCCTTTTGCTCATTTGCAAAAAAACTTATTTTAGGTGAAACTTACATAGCAGCTTCGCAACGTGCTGATGGAACGTGGAGAAAGGCAAGAAGAGTGAAGGACGGTTACATCCCACAGGAAGAACAACCGAGGTACGAATCACGCGGTCAACAAATGAGCAACAAAACTACATATCCCATTGGTTGGTCGCCCACCGAAGTTGTGAAACCTAAAAAGGTCACTTTTTTATCCTGTGGTAAGATATGTGAATTGGAAATCTATCCGAGGTAACATTTGAATCCTGCTCAAATTAAAATCTTGAAGTTGGAGTTTGTTAAGGGTGTCAGTGATTTTTAAAAAAATCAAAAAGTAAAAAATGAACGACTTCTTATTCCAATTATGTAATATTTGATAATTTGTAAGTTATTAAAGTAATTATTGTCTGCAATGCTTTTTTTGTACATGTTATGTTGGAGTTAATCCTGTGTGTAATGACCAACTCATGAAACGAACGAAACTTTTATTTAATTTATGAATTGACAAAACGTCATTTAAGCATCTCATTGTTCAGTTGTTCAGGAAAATTAGTTGGTAATTCTTTAAATTAAATACTGTTTATGATGTATCCACAACTGTTTGATTACGTTGTCAACTTAGTTATTTTTCTTCCGAAGGTTTCCAGAAAACTGAAGAACAAGAATTGAAAAAACCGATTGCTGCAGCACTGAGGCCAAACGTTCCTATAACTCCTCGTGAATGTATTGGAAAGAAGATTAACAATTTGAACAGAAAGCTACGAGATATAGAAATACTAGAGGTAAACTGGGTTAATTTTTATTTTTGTATCCTCGTCTTATTACATACATGTAAACTAGTAAAAATCACTGCAGCAAAGAATCAAAAGTGGAGTATTGGGAAATCCAGAGAAAACACAACTCGAAAAAATCGCGCGAAGAGAAACAATTACGAAGGAAATTGATCGGTTAACTGTTGAAATCGAAAAATTATGATTATTTTTCTGAAATTATTTTTGTAAATAGCACAGTTTTTTAATAAATCATATACAGCAAAACAAATGACATCTTCTATAACATACACCACCGAAATGTTTCGGATTGAGTGAATTCAAGGATACAAAGAAATAGGGCTCCTAGAAGTAATTTATTCACAAAATATCGTACCACTTTTTTGTCAACATCTGACTACTTTTCTGTTGTCAAAAAATAAATTTAGAAAAAAATCTGACATTAAAACAATACGGTTACCCCTCTGATTCATATAATCTGAGTATGTTATTTATAAAGTGAAACACAACTGTTTCAAGTGATTATAAATTTAAGTGTCAGTGTTGTGAATTCACTCGTTTATTATTTATGAGCTCTAAAATACATATAGCGTTATCAGTCACAAAGATCAAAACGATTTATTTGAAAGTTTGACCCAAAAAGCGGCGAAATTGTCGCAATTTCTAAATATATTTCTATATTTAGGAAACCAATTTCTTATGGAACCTTCTATTTTAGACTGCTGAAAAGTGGGCGATATTTTAGCATACCACTTTCATTATGATGAACTTCTTACATGATTTTTTTCTATAAATGATGTGTTATAAATCTATAAAACTAATAATAATAATGAGACGAAGTGGAAGTGCTCATATATTCTTTTAAGTTCTCCAGTTTATTCTCCTTATTTGCCAAAATTTCAAATACTTTCAAGCGGTTTTAAATTTTTGGAAAGTGCAACTGATAGTCAAAGGACTCAGGAGGAGTTATTGTGTGTGTTCTGCAATAGCACATTTGGCGATGCAGTAAAAATAGAAACAGAAAATCCTTACCAAAAGTTTCCCGGAAATTGTGAAGTGAAATGTAGCTACTCTCACACAACTTCAGAAGGAAAATAGCTGGGAGCATAGTGAGCATTTTAATCTTTTTGCAAAAATGAAACACACCGAACGGTGCGTGGCCTTAACCAAAAATCAAAATCTACATTTTTTGCGGAGCACAGCATCAGGATAAACTGCATAAATTTTGGATTTAAAACACTTTTGGTCTTCATTTACTGAACATAATGAAATCAAACGAATTAAAAGAATCAACTGAATCTGTTAATTTAGAGATATTAATGGGTTTTTTAAAATGTTCCTTTAACAAATGAGCTTCATTCCAGTTACTCTGTGTTTCCTCACAAATGCTTGCTTACAAAAACATTGGCTTAAAAATTATGAAAAAGGAATTATTAGTGAGGAAAATCTACCGCTAATCTCGAAAACTGCTTGTAATGTGCTCGATATAATTTTCATATCGGTTTCAATTGTCTTTGCCCAGTTTTCAACGTCTCCAATTTCCTGAATAATAATAAGTAAGAAAACAAATCATGACGACCAAACATGTACATCTAGATATATGCATACATAATTTATTAAAAACAAAAGTTTGTCTGTTGAGATTTGCTCTTTTAGTAGATTTAATTTTTAGTGTCATATAGCTAACAACAGTGTTTTATAAATACCTTACACCACTTGAAGTTCTAGATTTTTGCCCTAAACTTTCGTAA